CCCCTGCTCAGTGTCAGGAATACTTGAAAGGCTATCATACAGAGGAGGGGCAGGATCTGTACACGATCATTCCTCAGTGTAGGATGTGCGACAGTGGACAGAGGTTCCAGGAAGCCAGATTTTGGCTGGATATCAGGAAAAAACATCTCAACTGTGAAAGCAGTATGACAATGGAACCAGTGACCTCGGGAGGTGGTGAATGCTCTAATGCTGGAGGCATTCAAGAGAACCTCGGTCCACTGTTTGTCAGATCTGTTTTCATTTGGATTGCTGCATTGAGCAGGGGGTTATACTCAATGAATTTACAGTGGTGCCTTGCTTAATGGGCGCGCGAGTTTTGCCCATTGGGGCCGACGCTGTGCCTCCGCATTAGCGATCCCGAAAACAAATTAGGGATCGCTATGCGGATTCGGCGTTATACGGTGCGCTCGTTAAGCGAGGCACCACTATACTGTATTATATATCATAGAATAGAACACAATAGGGAAGTTGGAAGGGGCCTATGAGCCCATCAAGTCCCACCCCCTGCTCAGTGTCAGGAATACTTGAAAGGCTATCATACAGAGGAGGGGCAGGATCTGTACACGATCATTCCTGAGTGCAGGACATGCGACAGTGGACAGAGGTTCCAGGAAGCCAGATTTTGGCTGGATATCAGGAGAAACATCTCAGCTGTGAAAACAGTATGACAATGGAACCAGTGACCTCGGGAGGTGGTGAATGCTCTAATGCTGGAGGCATTCAAGGGAACATCGGTCCACCGTTTGTCAGATCTGTTTTCATTTGGATTCCTGCATTGAGCAGGGGGTTTATAAACCTCTCCCAACTCCATTATTCTATTATTTTTCCGCATGTATGTTGACATTGCGTGTCTTTCTCCTGTTTCTTATCCCAGACCTCCGGAACCCAGAGTTGGCGCTCACCCCTCCCTTCCGCAGCGACAGCCCGGTGCCTTCCTCTGTCACACCCAGCTCCGCCACAGAGCCTGGGGACCTGGCAACAGACCCTGAACTGGAGAAGAAGCTCCTGCACCACCTGGCAGATCTAGGACTGTCCCTGCCCACCGATGCCTTGTCCATCTGCCAGGCCATCTCCACGGTGAGCTGCAAACCCACAATACCTCTTGAGGATGCCATTTTTGTCTTATACCAGGGCTGAGCCAAGAGCAGCCTGTGGCTTCCTTTAAGGAGTCAGTCCATCTTGTAGTTGGTCTTTCCCTTTTCCTGCTGCCTTCCACCTTACCTAGCATTATTGTCTTTTCCAGAGAATCTTGCCTTCTGCTGATGTGTCCAAAGTAGGAGAACCTCAGTTTCAGCATTCTTGCCTCCAGAGAGAGTTCAGTAACTTAGACCCTTTTTTTTAACATTACTTTTAGATTATAATTTTGGTACCCCAGCATTGCCCAGTGGAGGGATATCTCAGTAGTTGTGCTGGTATTGTCCAGTGGGTTGGAGCACCCTGGCTGCAGAGCCAGGGGTCAGGAATTCAAATGCTGACTGAGCCTCTCAGGGAGGATTACACAGAGCATATGCCTCTGATATGGTTATGTGCCCTTCCATCTGTGTAGCTTTGGACAAACTGCGTAATCCCAGAGCACCAACAAGGGGAGGGACTTGTGAACCACTTCCAAGTGCTTTATACATAGAAGACCATGGGGTTTTTGCCATAAATAGGAATGGACTTAACAGCATGTAAAAATTATTTACAGGTATACTGTGCTGAATTGTAAGGCATTGTTTCCAGTCTCTTGGTTTCTGTGGTTGTTTTTATTCTGATTTCCACCCTGGCTGGGTCTTTTCTCTACTTTTCCCTCATCTAGATTGACATATATGGTGAGAGTGGTTAGCAATTTCTCCCTTCCCATGCTGGGATCCACAAGCTGATCAATCAATCCATCCACCCAGGCTACTCTGGGCGGTTCACAGCAAACAGCCCATTAAATAATAACCACAAAAACAATCAATCCATCCATTCATTTATTCATTCATTTGATTTGTATACCACCTATCTTGCTACCAGGGCCACTCTGGGCGGTTCACAGCACAATAGACAACAGCCCATTAAATAATAACCACAAAAACATAATGCCAATGCAGAAAATCAGACAAACATATCAATCAAATTAAACTAAAAAGAAACAGCAGAAAAACAATTAAACAAAAGTGGTGGAGCTGATCACTTAAGAGCCAAAGGGCCCTCTGCACTATGTTGATGTAATACCTTGAAATGCCTGTCTCAATATCCACGTTTCAGAGATCTCTTGAAGATCCCCAGTCAAAGGTCCAGGCAAATTTTGGGAGGGAGTTTGTCCAAAGATGGGGGGCCGTCACAGAGAAGGCCCTGTTCCTGGTCTTCTCCTTCCAGGCCTCTCTTGAGGTCAGTGACCTCAACCGTCCAACATGAGATGATTTAGTGGGTCGGGCAGATCTCACCGGAAGAAGGCATTCTGCCAAGTATTGAGGTTCCAAACCTATTTAGTCCCATCGGGCTCCTGATGTGATCCCTTCCCTCCTCTGACAGACCTGTCTCTTTTTCCCCCTGCAGCCAGAAGCCCCTGCCACCCAGCGGAGCGTGGAGAGCCTCTTGCAGAAGTTTGCAGCCCAGGAGCTGATCGAAGTGAAGCGAGGTCTCCTCCTGGAGGATGACCAACCCATGCTGGTCACCTACGCCGACCATTCCAAGCTTTCGGCCATGATGGGCGCCGTGGCAGAGAAGAAGGGATCCGGGGAAGGCGTTGGGGCTGGAGGCGGGAAGAGGAGAGCCGAGCAGGACGCCGGGGTGGCGGCCTCTACCCCTGGAGCTTCTCCGTCGGCCTCGTCATCTTCCGAGCCCCTCAAGGAGCCCCCCAAGAAGTCTCGCAAGCAGGCCTCCGACCTCGACCTGGAAATTGAGAGCCTGTTGAGCCAGCAGTCGACAAAGGAACAGCAGAGTAAGAAGGTCAGGAGGGGCAGAAAGTGACACCCCCCCCAAAAAATATCCTTCTTTTGTACTACGATTTTCAGATTTCCCCCAACCCTCCTAGTTTCTGGCCATGATGGCCAAGGGGGGAGAGTTTTCTAGTCCCAAAAAGATGAGGTGATCCAAAAAAAGAGTCACTTTTCAAAGCTCTAGAGAAGATTCCCATCGATAAGGGGCCATGGGTATATCTCAAGGTAGACTTAGTCCATTGGTTGCCAACCTTGGGTCCCCCAATGTTCTTGGACTACAACTCCCAGAAATCCCAGCTGGCACGGCGAGTGGTGAGGTCCTCTGGGAGTTTTAGTCCAAGAACACCTGTGAACCTCAGGTTGAGAGCCACTGACTTAGAACCTAATAGATGCCACTCATTTTGCCCCTCTATGTTGCTTTCAGTGATGGAAAGCTGAATGCTCAAAACGCAGAGCAACCTGATCCTAAGTGGCCAACTTAGGATGCCACTTTCTATTCAGTCAGATTGTTTTCTGGGGGTCTCAGAGAGAACAGCGTTGTTTCCATTCCTGGTCATTTCTGCCTTTTCGCTCCGGACAGTAAGGACTGATCCCTTCTACTGGGAATATTTATTTATTTTCTTATTGCTTCCATTTATATCCCATTCCCATTAAGCACCGAGGTGCTACTCTGGGTGGTTACCATAAATGTAATAATACAAAACAAAAAATAAAGATAAAAGTTAGTGCCCAGGTGCTACTCTGGGTGGTTACCATGAAACAAAACAAAAAATAAAGATAAAAGCATTAAACGGGGTTTACAAATAGAATGGTGCTCCACATAGCGACGTTAATCCGTTAGGGTTTACAAATAACCCTTAAAAACAGATGGTGCAGGCCAATCATAGACAAACCAGAGCAGGCGGAGGGAAGGGGAAAAGGGTAGTCAGCTCAGGTTGGTGTGGAAAGCCTTCCTGAAAAGCCACATCTTTACTTGCCTCCTAAGTATCAACAGGGAAGGGCCTAGGTGGAGCTCCTCCGGAAGCTGGTTCCCTAAGGTTGGAGCCACTGCAAAGAAGGCCCTACTTTTTGTAGAGAATTTATGGGCTTCCTTCGGGGTGGCCACCCGGAGGAGCCTCGACCTGGATGATCTTGTGGGTTGGGTAGATGACATTAAGGAAAGACGCTCCAACATGTAACATAGAAATATATTTTCTCTGGGTGAAATACCATTTCACACATTCTGGTGGTTTTCTTAACCCATCCTATGCATACTGATGACGGAAGACAAAGTAAGATGTAGAGTTTTTAGTCTCCTGTCAATCCTACCTGCCACATATCCATCTTTTGGCATGCTAGTACACTCGTGCCCCTTAAAAACAGATGGTGCGGGCCAATCATAGACAAACCAGAGCAGACGGAGGGAAGGGGAAAAGGGTAGTCAGCTCAGGTTGGTGTGGAAAGCCTTCCTGAAAAGGCTTTACTTGCCTCCTAAGTATCAACTTATCAACCACATCTTTACTTGCCTCCTGAGTATCAACAGGGAAGGGGTTAGGTGAAGCTCCTCCGGAAGCCAGTTCCCTAAGGTTGGAGCCACTGCAAAGAAGGCCCTACTTTTTATAGAGGATTTATGGGCTTCCTTCGGGGTGGCCCCCCGGAGGAGCCTCAACCCAGATGATCTTGTGGGTTGGGCAGATGACATTAAGGAAAGACGCTCCAACATGTAACATAGAAATATATTTTCTGTGGGTGAAATACCATTTCACACATACTGGTGGTTTTCTTAACCCATCCTATGCATACTGATGACGGAAGACAAAGTAAGATGTAGAGTTTTTAGTCTCCTGTCAATCCTACCTGCCACATATCATCCATCTTTTGGCATGCTAGTAGTCCCTTCTGATCCCCGATGCTCCTTAC